TGTGGTGGATAAATAGTTGGTAGTGGTGGTACTTCAAAGTTCACCTAGCCTGGCACAAGTTCTGTGGTGACATCACTGCCACTTGTGCAACAAATGGCAGCTGTTGGTGGGTAATAGTTGTGGCGGTAGGATTAGTGCAGCTGTGGTGTTGGTTTTGTTTGACATTTGACGCTCGATTTCTGCGTAAAATCCTCAATCTTTATCCGCGCAGTCGAGGCTACGACCCACGTGGCCTGTAATCCAGCACTGTGGGAGGCAGCTAGCGAGGATTGGTGGATCACACAAGAGTTGTGGGAAAGAGGGAAAAAAAAACCTCCCTTTCCGTGGGTTGCCATACCCTGGGGTCTCGCCAGGAGAAGACGGTACGTCGAGTGTGTGTACTAATCGCCATCTGTTTATATCTGTACGGGGATAGCGTGTTTCTGCTCCCGATCCCTCCCGTCCCGCGCAAGGCGTGGGTTTTCTCTTCGGTTTGCCTCCACCTTATCGTAATTAATGATCTGCAAAAATATTGACACGTGAAAGACCCAAACGTAGCGGCAAGACCCCATTCCGAAAGAAAAAAATCACACCCAAATAATGCGTGTGGCTTTAACGGATAAGTCCATTGTAATTATTGTGATCGCTAAAACCGGCGGTCGATTGACCAAGGTGATGCTGCTACTGATGATTTAAAAACAAAATGAAAGTGATGGGGATCTCTCCACCCAAGACGCGAACCACCGCGAGTAGTCGCGGACGAACACGTGTAGCGCTCATTTCTGGGAAACACTTTCGGGGATATTTTATTAATGCGAGTTTAAGCACACGTGGGGGAGGGGGAGGGGGGGGTAACACATGCGTACGCTCGCGTGATTCAGGGGGGACCCGAGGGGAGTGGGAGGGGGGTGGATGAGTGAGGCTCAGTCGAAAGTACACCCTCAAAAAAATCCCACCCTTCGTTTAACCGGAAGAAAAAAAATTATGAAATAACAAGCTGGCCAAACCAGTCTGCTGGGAGCCTTTCTGCCCAATTAGCTAAATGGCACTTGATGCATTGTGAACATTGGCAAATGGAGATTTATATTTATACGTGTGCGTGTGTGTTTTTTAAATCCAGTCTATGATGATTATTAATTTACTTTTTTCTGAAAGGGTGAGGTAATTGTGTCCTTTCGTTATTTTATATTTAAAGCTTTTGTTTAAAAGTATTTTATTTGCATACGCATTCATTCATTAATGGTGAACATCACAAGATGCACGCACCCAAATACAAAAATAGAGATTATCCAACCGTATACCCTTAACAGAGTGCTATGGCAAGTGCTATTAGCGAGCACCTATTCAGGCCGAGGTATCCCATGGTGGGGAGTGGCGTGGTACAGATTTTCACACACCGCAGTCATTTAGGGCCGAGGCAACCTACTTGACACCCACGACCAACGATGTTATCCATGGCCAGGAAGCGAACTCGGGTATCTAATCACGGCGCCACAATCCTCCCACAAAGACAAAGTTCCCCCCTCCCGTATAGCCTTAACAGACATTTGGGGCAAGTGCTGTTAACGAAAAACTATGAAAGCCGACACAGCACACATGGGGAAGGTGTGGCCAGAGCCACGCCCGGCCGCCTTTGTCTCCCAAGTACAGATGTTTGTAGACACTGCATCAGTTACTCATTTAAATCTGAATCGACCGAGGGGAGGTACCAGGGACTGCTTCAAATATTCACCACCAATATTCGTCACGAGCGGAAATCGATCTCGGGGGGTCAGCGAGTTCCTAGGGCAGTGTGCTAACCACTACACCCACCGCTCCCCAGACACCCACACACGCAGACGCGTGGCTCATTCCACCTCACGTTGCCGTCCAAACTATTTACGGACACATTTAGGAGAAATCGAATCGAGCCGAGGGAAAGCGAGAGGGCGAGAGAGAGAGAGACAGAGCGCGCGCACACAGGAGGCGATCGTGATTTTATATATACACACACATATATAAATATATATTTGCGCTCCGTTTGCTAATGCACAGATTAAGCCATTAGCCAGCGCCACTCGCGCGCGTGCGTGCACATTCACGCACGCGCGCGCGCGCCAGTCCCCAGCCGCCAGCGACAATCAGCACCAGGGACAGCGTCCATCAATTCCCCATCGTCGCGCTCACAGTAATCCGCCCATCCCAGAAGCGGATGCTGAAATTCGGCTTTGTTTTCTAACCCCCCCGCCTGCCCCCTCTCCCCCCCCCCCTCCGATGGATTATAACCAACGCACCGTGCTCATCGTTTAGCCCCCCCCCTACTCCCACCACACCCCCCGCACCACTATTGCCAAGCCTCTCCACACGCATAGGCAGCATTGCACGTGTGTGTATGCTGCGCGTGTGTACTGTGCATGTGTGTGTGTACTGCATGTGTGTACTGCGTGTGTACTGCGTGTGGGGAGCGGTAGTGTAGGGGTTAGCGCGCTGCGCTCCGAACCCGGGCACCTGAGTTCGATTCCTGCTCACGGCCAACACCAGTGAACATTATTTGAACACGGGGCATCCCCCAGGTGGACTCAGCCTCAAAATAAGTACCTGGTGCGGTGTGTAAAGATCGCCACTGGGAAGACAAAGGCGGTTGGACGTGGTGCTGGCCTTCATAGGTGCTACTCGCTAACAGCACTTGCCCCTACAGTCTGTTACAGGCTACACGGTGGATCATCGTCTTTGGTGCAATTGAGCTATCCGTTCATCAACAACAACAACAAAAAAACACGATTGAAAATTGAATAATAGACATTTGTTTAATTACATCTCGCAAACTGCAATATCCAATCGCAGGGTTGTGACGCCGCATGACGTCCCTCGCGCCGGAAGGCGTCAGGTAAGCGGCGAAGCACCGCCGGAAGTGGCGATGACAGTTGCCCAAGTTCTGGGGTCCTATCTTACGCCGTTTGGTCAGCTCCCATTAACGCAGTGGTCCTTAACATTTACTGCAGCCTTGTACCCCATTTGTTTCTCAATCGTTAAACATGTTCAATGTTGATGAAACAAAGCTGTTGTACTACTGGCGTAGTCTCGCACCCCCAGAAACGGCATCTGGCACCACAGGTTAAGAACCACTGCACTGAGTGTTTTAACACAAACATAACGTATTTTTTGGTCCAACAGCCTGTTGGCTTTCTACGCCAATATCATGGGGGGTTTTGACCATACTTTTTGGTAAGTGAAAGAGGGGTAGGTATGGGGTAGGGGCGAAGGGCTGGAATAGTTCCGACTGATATTCGCCTGTGGTCGAAAATGGAACTCAGATTTCCAGGTTCGCACTTCAGTGGCCGAACCAACGTGCACTTCTGCTCACATTGTCGTTGAAACATGTCATGTTTATCCCCCCCTTTGCTGCGTTACTGAGCCAGCGGTGGAAATTCCGCATTCCTGTAGCGGGGGCGAGTATATCCAAAGGACAACCGCTATTGTTGACTTCCGCACAAAAGTGGTACTCGTTTTTTTTTATCGACCGCGGAAGGACGATGGGTCGAGTCTACTCCGCAACGCGGATGTGAACTCGTAGGCTCGCAGCCTTGCCAGTGCGAGCCCCTTGCTCTACCACTGAGCCACCAGGCCCGTTCCATGTGCTCACCGCTATATATAAACTATTCAAAACAATACTTTACCAGGGAATGACCGCTGAGCTACGTAGCTTTTTTTTCCAGAAGCGACCTGGCTACCAGCAAATGATAGCTCAACGAAGTGGGCTTATCATCATCGTCACGTGCAAATGTATCGCAGCCAAATACTCTAAACGCGTGATGTTGATTCTAAATGTGGAGGGGTAAACCAGAAGCCCCGGAGAAAACTCGACGCGACCACGTGGTGAGAGAGACCACGTGGTGAGAGAGAGAGACCACGTGGTGAGAGAGACAACGTGGTGAGAGAGACGCCGCAAACTCCAAATATACAGCAGGCGTCAGGAGCGAACCCCACGACCTCCTGTATACTGTAACCAGGCGAGGTAGTTAACATCTCGCTACCGTGGCGCCCATATAGACTATTGTTATATCATTATAATTAATATATGTTTTTATCCGTGCCATTTATGCATTCGTGTTTGTGCTTTATCGTAGCAGGGTTGTCCGTTTGCTGTGTGTGTGTTGGACGTCTTTCGCGTCGAGTGTAGACAACCGCGTATATGGGATTTGGTCCTTATATATAATTAATGTGCAGCGTTGAAGGATGCTATTGGCATGAATGACGCTATACAAAATGAAAGTATCGTTATACGATTGCTATCCAATAATACAACACGACACGACACCATAAGCATGGGTATTCATGCAAAAAAAAGTCACCGCATCGCACGCTTTCGGATGCGCTTCTGCGGCCGTCTGGAACGCTCTTTCTTCCCATATTAGGAAGACACGGGGAGCTGTCCACTTTTAAATGTAGATTAAAAACTCATTTCGTTAGAAATGCTTTTTTGAGTTTAGTTTATTATACTTCCCCCGCACCTCCGATTAGCACGGTTGGCTACGTACGTTGCGAGAGAAGTTCTACATACATACATGATGATGGCGGTGATGGTGGTGATGTTGATGTTGCAGCCGTCTGGAACGCTCTTCCTTCCGATATTAGGAAGCCACTGGGAACTTTTAAATGTAGATTGAAAACTCATTTCTTTAGAACTGCTTTGTTGTGTTTAGTTTGTTGTCCTTCCCTCACACCTCCAATTAGCACCGTTGGCTACGTACGGTGCGAAAGAGGTTCAACGTGCATACACACGTGCAACATATAAACATTCTCTCGTGCGTACAAGGCGTTGGGTACACTGTCTGCGTGGATATTTTAGTTCACGATGGACACGCTCCGGGTTATGTCCGACCGCCGTAGAGGAGGCCCCAGAGAGATGGTGACACGAAATGACAATTTACAATATCGCTTCGACGATGCGTGGATGGAGATGGATGGTGCAGGGCAAGCAACCGACTAACGTTCACCTGAAGATCGCGAGTGCGCCTTGCAAGAGAGAGAGAGAGAGAGACTTTTAACTTTTAAACAACTTTTATTTGCCGCCAGCAGCAACAGCACTGAAAATGTAACAACAACAAACACCCGCATTCGTCCATAACACTCTGTGTCTGTGTGGCCTTCAAAGAAAATATGACATAATTAGGCGACGTTTTGGGCACTTGCCTTTTTTCACAGCACATCCATAAAGAGGCCAAAAGAGAGATAGAGATCGCACTTGTTCATACAATGGTGCTTCGTGAGAATTATATATTTTTTATTTGATGACCAAATTTTTAATTTGGCATATGCATAGTTCCAGAATGATAGCGACTGAGCAACAGACAGGCCTACGCAAATAATCACAAGGTATTACGAACTATATTAGCTCATTAAAGTTGAAAGCAAATGTTTAAATGTTACTGGCACATTGCATTCTGGGGATATCTTTTGCTCTTACACCGCAGCATTAGCCAAGGTTAGCCACGGGAATTGAACCGCAAACCTCTGTGTCAGAAAGCGAGTGATAATGTCAATAATGAAAAAAAAAATCCAGGAAAGCTTTACTAAGTGTTACGATTTAGTTTTTAAGGAGCGAGCTGTATTATTGCGATGTTTGACCGATGATGATTTCAAACGGAATACTTAATTTGATTTCCAGGTCATCAGTGGCGAGTCAAATCTGAACCTGTCCTGGGCGCCTACCCTTAGCTCCCTTCCTTCATCAACCCACGCTGACCAGAGTGGTGAAGTATGGTCAACCATACCCCCATGGCGGACACGACATTGTAGAGGAGTGTTATATATATTTATGACATCTTTGGATTGACGGCAAGCTGCAAGTTATTATTAAGTGTTTATATGTTAATATACGCATTTATAAATATATAACAAGCCATGTGGCTCAGCGGGAGAGAGTGGCTCGCAATCGGACGGGGGAGGGGGTGAGGGAGTGGGCAGAGGGGGTCGACTCACCACATGATCCCTGCGGAGTCGATCAAACCAAATAACCACTTTGTGAATACTTCAACAGTGGATGTACCGCTTGGGACAGACTCGCCCGCGCCATAGGAATGTAGAATGTCCATCTCTAACGCAGCAGGGCCTGCATAACCACGCGCGGTCTCGCCTGCACGGTATCCACGCCGTGCAGACATTGTCCCTGTGAGCAAAGGGAAAGGTAAAAGCAGAGGCCGTGGTGAGATTTGCCACGTGGTTCTCGGAGTGAAAGTCTCTGGCAGGGGTCGGCAATCCGCGGCTCTGGAGCAGCATGCGGCTCATCAAGGACCACCGCTTCGTGACACCGCTGTTTATTAAGGATCCACCGTCTTGTGTTCACCACTGTGCAAAGTGGGTCTTGAAATATTGGGGGAGGGGGGGGGGGGTTATACCGAATTAGAAAAAAAACTGTCACTCAAAAACCTTTATTATGGATTATGATCATGGTCACTGCTGCTCGACAACACAGGCAGTCACACATTATTATGGATCATTCCAAAGTCTATAGCACCCCCTAGCGATAAAATCTGAAACAAACCATTCAACCCAAGCGATTAAAAAAAAAACGTGATCTTGTCGGAACACAAAACTGCTGAATATAAGGGACACTCCTCCCCCAGCCGACCCCCTCCCCTCCAAGAAGAGAGCCGTGTGGCTGACGGGATGTGTGAAACAATAACAAACAAAACACACTCTTATTTCTTTTTGTCTGTGGAGGGACAGATATAACGGGAAGGATGGTGCATTATTTGTTTGTTTTGCCAGGCGAATGTCCATCTCCCGCTGTCTCTCTCTCTCTCTTTCTAACACTCACACACAATAGCTGGAATTATCATCTATGATTGCGAGCGCTTGCGACAGAAACGGACGGACGTACGTTGAACTTCTTTTGCACCGTACACAGTCAACCGTGCGAATCGGTGGTGCGTGGCTTGGGGGAGGGGGGAGAGGAGGAAGACAAACTGTGACGAGAACATCATCGGCATTCCGTGGTCGAACTCAATTCGTCACGTTCGAAATCCCCGCGATGGTGAAACTCACCGTGCACCGATCAAAGAGTCCCCGACGCGCCAAATCTGGGCAGCCGAGCAGGCTCGAACCTGCCGAAGAACTTCGCCCCCACCTCGAGTCTCGATCTCCCCTCTGGGATCGCTGCTGCTGCTGCTGTCACCATCCCAGGCCAGAATGTCGTCAAGATACAGAAGAACGCTGCTGCTGCTGCTGTCACCATCCCAGGCCAGAATGTCGTCAAGATACAGAAGAACGCTGCTGCTGCTACTACTGTGAAAACAGAGTGGAACAACGTGGACGTTCGGAGTTAACACCTCTTCATTCGATACCGAAACATCATCGCGCCACCTACTCCGAGCTTTGACATTCCTCCTCCTCGGCCTTGAAGACACTGCTTGTGGAACCATCAACCGCAGTGGCGAGATGTTAACTCCCTCGCCTGGTATTCAGGAGGTCGTGGGTTCGATCCCGACTCTGTCGCCTGCTATGTGTATTTGGAGTTTGCGGTGTCTCTCTCTCTCTCCCCCCGTGGTCGCGTGGATTTTTTCCCTCCGGGTCTTTCGGTTTTAGAATCAACACGCGTTTAGAGTATTTGGCTGTTATATATTTACACGTGATCAGCCACTTCGTTAAGCTATCATTTGTGGCTAGGTCGCTTCTGAAAAAAAAAAAGCTAGATCGCGCAGTGGGTTCTACTTTGGTAAAATAAAATAAAAATGTATGTCATTAGTTCAACCGCATCAGAACATCACACACGGGCCGATGCACACGGCTCCTTCATGAATGGAGAATCTAAGACAGGGGTGGGGAATGTCCGGCCCGCGGGCCGTATGAGGCCCGCGAAATCATTTAGTCTCTGGCCCTGCCAAGACAACCGCAGGCGGGACTCAAAATTCAATAAATCTAGGAGCAAACCTGGAAAAGCAGTTGCGAGTAGCAACATCGTCAATACCAGCTAACATCATCAATACCAGCTAACATCATCAATACCAGCTAACATCATCAATACCAGCTAACATCATCACACACCTCGCCAACAAGAAGCAGTTCCAGCCATCGCACTAGGGGTGAGTTAATTAAATGTTTGACCAAATAGAACAGGCTAATTTTTAAGTTGATAATTTTGTATGGCCCGCGAATGATGTTATAATATCCAAATGGCCCTTGGCAGAAAAAAAAGGTTCCCCAGCCCTCATCTAAGGCAAGCCACGGCAGCTATGCGATTGTGGCCCTGCGCAACTGATGAGTGTGAGAAAGTGATCGTATTCAGGATGCGGTTTTCTTTTATTCAAATTTTGTTCAATGTGGTTTAAAAGTAGAGTCAAAGCAACCCCCCAGCAATGCAAAACTTCTGCATTATAAATCAATACAATCTGACAGAAAGGGAGAGAGAACGCTCTAAGTCTAAGCAATCTCTGCGAGCCACATCCTTTCTCAAAGACGTCGGTGATCGTGGATTTCCTTCCAATTCGCTCTCTCCGTGGTAGCTACTTAAGGACTGGTTACTCTGTGAGCAATGTTAGTCCATGGGCGATGTTAGTCTATGGGCAATGTTAGTCTATGGGCAATGTTAGTCTATGGGCAATGTTAGTCTATGGGCAATGTTGGTCTATGGGCAATGTTAGTCTTTGGGCAATGTTGGTAAATGGGCAATGTTAGTCTATGGGCAATGTTAGTATATGGACAATGTTAGTCTATAGGCAATGTTGGTCTATGGGCAATGTTAGTCTATAGGCAATGTTAGTAAATGGGCAATGCTAGTCTATGGGCAATGTTAGTCAATGGGCAATGTTAGTCTATGGGCAATGTTGGTCTATAGGCAATGTTAGTCAATGGGTAATGTTAGTCTATGGGCAATGTTGGTCTATAGGCAATGTTAGTCAATGGGCAATGTTAGTCTATGCACAATGTTAATCTATGGACAATGTTAGTCTATGGACAATGTTAGTCTAAGGGCAATGTTAGTCTATCAGCAATGTTAGTCTATGGACAAAGTTAGTCTAAGGGCAATGTAAGTCAATGGGCAATGTTCGTCTATGGGCAATGTTAGTCAATGGGCAATGTTAGTCTATGGGCAATGTTAGTCTATGGGCAATGTTAGTGTATGGGCAATGTTAGTCAATGGGCAATGTTAGTCTATGGACAATGTTAGTCTAAGGGCAATGTTAGTCTATGGGCAATGTTAGTCTATGGCCAATGTTAGTATCTCTCTCTCTGTGAGTCGCGTCCTTTCTCAAAGACGTGGTTCTACCATGACATTCCTTCCACTGAGCTCTCTCCGCGATCTTTAACTCAACAACTGTGGGCATCATCATCATCATCATCAGATTCTCGTCCCATTCGTGGAGACACTTAATTCGCCGTCTCCCCCATAATCTCGAAGTGTCCATAGCGTCCCCAGTCAAATCCTCATCCAGTCTCTCCTTTTCTCACTACATGTACAAACACACATCGAACTTTGCCTCTCTCCATTTACTCTCACAAATTGTTGTTGTTGTTGTCGTTGTGTCATCGTGCCGCTAGCTATAATTCATTGACATCGCTCGTCACGGTGGTATTTGTCCGTGACATGTTTAATATCCTCCTTCTTTTAAAAAGTTAAAATATGCTATAATAGTCAGGGGTGGGGGGGGGGGGGGGGTTGGTTTAAAGGCGTGAATTTAATTACACGCCTTAGTGAAGGCATCGTTACCACGTTTTGGGGCAGCGTTCTCTGCTGAGAAATGAGCTCTGGCATCGAGGGGGGGGGGGGGGGGTTCAAGGGGTCGCCAACCATTAAGAGAAAGGCCCCGGCCTCGTTTTCATAAGAACAACTTTAAACTTTATTTATAAAGGGGGGAAGAAGCGAGAGAGGGGGGGGGGGGGTGCTGAGCCGAGCGAGGGCGCAGAGAGGCGAGGGACAAGGCATCTGTTGTGTGTGCGTGTGTGACGGACCCCAAAAATAACATTCGTCTCAAGGGTAGAACGTGCTAAGAATCACGTTCAAGAGATACCGTGCTACTACTGGTGGTGCTGGTGGCGGTGATTGTGGTGGTAAGGGAGTTTGGTGGTGGTGGTGGTGGTGGCGGTGATTGTGGTGGTAAGGGGGTTTGGTGGTGGTGGTGACGGTGGTTGGGGTGGTAAGGGGGTTTGGTGGTGGTAGTGGTGGTGGTGGTGCTGGTGGTGGTGGCGGTGGTTGGGGTGGTAAAGGTGTTTGGTAGTGGTAGTGGTGGTTGTTGTTGTTGTTTCGTGACTGTGTTGTAGAGACAGAGAGAGATGAGAGAAGAGAGAGGAGGAGAGAGGAACTGTTGAAAAAGCTGAAAAGTATAATCAATAGTAAATCAAAAAAGTATCAACTATTTTTACACTATATTCTTGGTTCTTTCGGTAAAGTCACGTAGAAGGGGAACAATAAAAGAAAAAATATATATTTTATTATAATAAAAAATAGAAAAATATATTTTGTATTCTTTTATTGTTTCCCTTCTACGTGACTTTACCGAAAGAACCAAGAATATGAATCCCTGCAGTCACGAAAGCTTTAAATCAAAATTTATTTTTACACTATTCACTATTTTTTTTATTTTACCAGGTAAGGCACCACTGAGCGATATAGCTCTTTTTCATAATCGACCAGGCTATCACAAATGATAGCCCAACGAAGTGGCCAATTAGCACGTGGATATTCGCAGCAGCCAAATCACCCCAAAAACGCGAGACGTTGCTTTTAAATGTGGACGGGAAAAACCCGGCGGGCCCGGAGAAAAAATCCGCGCGACCAGGGAGAGAGAGAGAACGCGCAAACATTAAAAATATAGAACAGGCGTCAGGGTCCGGATCGAACCCACGACCTCCTGTATACCATCAAGGTAGTCAACATCTCGACAGGTCCTCCCCCCCTCTTCCCCACGAGATGAAAGCCACGCGGCGATTGGGTGCATGGCATCTCGTGTGTTTCTACAAGGCAGGCCTGACAACTTGAGTTTTCAAGATTTTGTTGTATTTTTTTTTCAGTTTGACGCGCGTGCCCCGTGTGTGGTGATTGGCGGTGCAGCGGTTAGCGTGTTGCCCTACGAACCCGAGGTGACCCGAGTTCGATTCCCGCTCACGGACAACGCCAGCGACGATTATCTGATCCGGCCCTCCTCAAATGAGTACCCGGTGCGGTGTGTAAAAATCACCGCTAGGGAGACAAAGGTGGTCGGGCGTGGCGCTGGCCACCCACCCCCTCGTGTGTGGTGCCGGCCTTCAAAGGTGCTCACTAACAGCACTTGCCCCAACAGTCTGTTAAGGCTATAGGGGGATCTTTGTCTATGCCTTTGTTGTGTGTGTTAACGATATATTAACCACCCTACTCCACACAGCCGCTCACGCTTACAAAAAGACAAAGATCCCCCATATAGTCTTAACATACTTTTGGGGCAGGTGCTGTTAGCGAGTAGCACCTATGAAGGTCGGCACGGCACACGAGGGGGTGGGTGGAACAAAACCTCGCCCGGCCACCTTTGCCTCCCCAGTGGCGATGTTTACACACCATATCGGTTACTCATTGGAGGCTGAGTCGACCTAGGGGAGGCCCATGACCGGTTTAAATAGTCGTCACTGGTGTTGGCCGTGAGTGGAAATCTAACTCAGGTCGCCGGGTTTGTAGCGCAGCGCGCTAACCACTACACCACCGTTCCCCACGCTCACACACACACACAAGCACACACACACACTCCGCTGCAAAGCATACAACACCCTTGATACGAAATTAAATAATAGATTTATAGCCTTTGCCGGACAAAGACACATTTCACGTAAAGAGATTAACTACCAGAGGTTTTTTTGTATATATATCCATTAAATATTAAATAATCAGGCATGCAATAGTAAATCCTATTTTAGCAAAAAATATATAAGCTTTCTTAATTCCTCCATCGTTACATTTGCCTTCCCTCTAATGTTTGCCGCGCCACTTTAATTTCGCGAAAGATTTCTGAGTGGAATTGGATGTCTCAGGATTAGGCCTTGCTGTGGGGGGGCGGGGGGGGGGTGGGTTGGCGGGGGGGGGCGATTGTACAAACCGCACTTTGACGATCGCGCAAATCGTGGGTGACCATTCCTAAACCTTCAAACGCGTTACAACAACAAAAAAACCGTGACATTAGTTCGGCACCAAAACTCAAGATTACATTTAGCATTTTACCCACAATGCTCCATAGGGCTGCCACCTCCTCTCTCCTCCCCCTCGCCCCCCACCCGCAGCAGCAAACTACACATGCGTCTCAGTCAGCCAGCCGAGGTCTATT